ATATATCAAATGTGACTCTCATTTAGACTTTGGTTTGTAAGAACAAAAGTTATTATCAGAGCCAATTACTGTTTTACCTACATGGCTGCACAGAAGCAGGGAGCTCAATTTTCATCTCATCAGTGATTTTGTGGTATTTATTTTATTACTATGCCCACAAAGCTATATAAGAAGGAAATAGCTTATGCTATTAAAACTAGGGTTTGAACATCAGAGGCTGAGGTTTCTTGTAGAAGAAATTCTGAATTAAAAACACTAGGCAGCGTGTAATGCCAGCTCCCTAGACATGGGCAAACCATAAAATGACATACATCTGAGCAGTAGATCCCACACAGAGTAATCAAAATTGAAATGCTTCACAAGCAAAGTTGAGACAGGCTATTTACTAAGTTACAGTATTATCAGCATAACATTATTCTCAACAGTGTTTGCTACAAGTAATGCCTTCTAAAGTGTATATTGCTTAATATCATATTCCCACTGGTTAAGACATCTGCTGTTTAATCTCAAAACCAGAAAACAGAAAAAGAATCCAGTCTCTTTTAACACTCTGATTCTTTTAGCCACTATTGCATTTAATGGAAGAACAAAGGCTCCAAGTCCTGATTCAAGCCCTAAGCTCTAGTTTCTTATTTACAAAACCGGCTAGTAACACCTACCTTGACAGAGCTGTGCATGAGGTTTAAATGACTAATGGATGTTAAGTATCTTGCGGATTATAAAGTACTATTCAGAAGCCAACTTGAAAGGGGCTCATACTGGTCAAAAAATAATGACGGCAATGGATAGATACACTTCAAATATATAAAAATCTACAAGTTCTTAATATTTCCCCACCTCCCAAAAAACTTTAAATTGATAAATTAATCTTAAAGTTGATAAATAAAAAGAATCAACCATGGGCCGGCCGAGTGGCACGCTGGTTAAGAGCTGGCTTGGTGCGCCAGAAGGCCCCGGTTCGGATCCCACATATGAGGGCCAGTGACACTGCCCTCTACAGCTAAGATGCTGAACAACAGCTCGACCTGAAACTGGGCTGCCGTGAGTCCCCGGCGATGGCATAGTCTGTAGCCCCTACTGCAGTGGGTTGCCATGGACTACCATGTGTAGCCAGCAGCCAGCGTGAGCGGCCAGCAGCCACCGTGAGTGGCCGTCCAGAAGCCGGCGACTGATCTGCCTCGCCAGGGAAGAGCGCAATGATGGTGCCAACTTGGGCCAGTGAAGCAG